AGGCGCTGGCGTGGTGTGCCTGGTTACGGGAGGGGGGTCTGGTCCCTTTCTCCATACCCCGGGACCCCAGGTGGACCCTGAGGAGCTGGTGAGGTGTGCCTGGTTGTGGGAGGGGGGTCCAGTCCCCTTCTCCATACCCTGGGACCCTGGGCAGGCCCTGAGGTGCTAGATTTTTCCTAGTTTTCTTTTTCTTTCTTTTTTTTAAATTTTATTTTGTTGATATACATTGTGGTTGATTATTGTTGCCCCTTACCAAAACCTCCCTCCCCCCTCCCTCTCCTCCCTCCTACCCAACAATGTCCTTTCTGTTTGCTCGTCGTATCAATTTCAAGTAATTGTAATTGTTATATCTTCTTCCCCCCCGCCCCCGGTTTCTTTTTGTGTGTGTGTGTGTGTGTGAATTTATTTATTAATTTTTAGCTCCTACCAATAAGTGAGAACATGTGGTATTTCTCTTTCTGTGCCTGACTCATTTCACTTAATATAATTCTCTCAAGGTCCATCCATGTTGTTGCAAATGGCAGTATTTCATTCATTTTTATAGCTGAGTAGTATTCCATTGTGTAGATGTACCACATTTTCCGTATCCACTCATCCGATGATGGACATTTGGGCTGGTTCCAACTCTTGGCTACTGTAAAGAGTGCTGCAATGAACATTGGGGAACAGGTATACTTTCGACTTGATGATTTCCATTCCTCTGGATATATTCCCAGCAGTGGGATAGCTGGGTCATATGGTAGATCTATCTGCAATTGTTTGAAGAACCTCTATACCATTTTCCATAGAGGCTACGCCATTTTGCAGTCCCACCAACAATGTATGACAGTTCCTTTTTCTCCGCAACCTCGCCAGCATTTATCGTTCAGAGTCTTTTGGATTTTAGCCATCCTAACTGGGGTGAGATGGTATCTCAGTGTGGTTTTGATTTGCATTTCCCGGATGCTGAGTGATGTTGAGCATTTTTTCAATTTTTCCTAGTTTTCAATAAGAGCTTTTTATAGAAAAAATTCATATGGGAACAGTCAATCAGATTCAAAATTTTTTAAGAATAATATCAATTTATAGGAATAAAAATTAGAACACACATGCATAATAATTATGAATGTATATGTGTCTCCAAAGAATATTTGGCATGTTGCTTTAATTCACTTTTACAGAATCGATCTGTGTAGACAAGTAGGTAGAGAGTACTCAATAACTGGAATTATACAGGTAGAGACTTATAACACAATATTTCAATAGAAATACACATTTTATCTGTAGCAGTGATAGAATCACATATAGTATTGTATTTTCCACATGATAGTCATTAAAAAAAAACTATTCCAAATTGTGATTTTAAAATATATATTCATGTGTGTGTTTAAATGTTGAGATTCCTTTGCTGTTGCTTAGGAGCTACGTTCACTTTACCAAGTATATAGTAATGGGAACTCAAGATATGCCAAAATGACTGAAGGAAGCTGTGATACAGTGAATGAAAGGCTCATCATGAAAACTAAAAGAGTCTATCTATTTAATTTCTGGATTGATTTTAGAATGCCAACTAAATAGATACAAATGAGATTCCTGTGATTGTTGAATATTAACAGTCTCAAAACGTTTGTATCCTCCAAATGTTCTCTCACCTCATAGGAGAAAATACTGTAGAATGATATTTTCCCAACTTTCAAGCATGTGTCCTTAAAATTGCTCATAAGTAAAATCTTAGAACCATCAATATGATCATAATCACATTTGATTGTGAAAATGTGTGCTAAATTCTTCAGTATAACACAGTCTTGGCCAATTGTTTTCATCTTTTGTTCAACAACATTTATATCTATATGCAAAGAACTGAAGTAGGCAGTGCTTTAGACATACAAAATGCTATAGAGGGTGTAAAGCTCTAATGCCTCTCATGTTCAGGTAGGTAACCCAAATAAATGGAGACAGTGAAAAACTGGAGAGGGCATGCCCAGCCTAAGTGGTGGCAGCTGCCACTTTGCTCCAGCTCATCATTGCCATGTGGGAATGTGGGCTCAGAGTTGTCAGATTCCAGGATAAGCCAGAAATTCATTTTTGTGTGTGAGAAATGTTACCATTAAACCATTTTATCGAGTTTTAAAAACTCGAGACTATATCTACCACTCTTGCTAACTATAATTCTTGGGTTCTTTTGCATAGATACTCATCATAACCAGAGATGTGAGTTTTTTTAAATTTTGTTTTGTTTTGGTGGCTGGCTGGTATAGGGACCTGAACCCGTGACCTTGGTGTTATCAGCGGCATGCTGTCCCACATGAGCTAATTAGTCAGCCCTGAATATGAGGTTTTAATGGAAGTCAATCTGAGACCAAATTCTGATGCACATGCAGACATTTATTAAACAGAGCAGTTCATACAAACTGCTCTGTAAGTTTGACGAAACCCCAGTTCTCTGCCCTTTTAGGTGCTCTCATTATCTCCTGTAGGAAAGGTTCACTTAAGGCAGATGTAACACCATTCCTGAGGTTAACTTCTGTAACCCTACAGAACTCTAATAGAAGACATAAGAAAACTTAAAGATGAAACTGCAGGCCTCCTAGATTCCCCTACTGTACTCTGTTCATGCAAGGGCATCAAGAATCTCTAAAATATTTTAGTCAATCCACATAATTTAAATATTGCTAATTTCCTGATCCCATTTCTAATATTTATCATACTTTTGAGCAAGCCAAAAATAAAAACCCATGTCTGACATTCTCCATGCTAATTAGCAAACTGTGTAGTGTGGATCAAGATGGTGATAACAGATGTCCTTGTGATAGCTGCTTCTGGATTGTGGTCTTTCTATTGCTTTGCTACCTGACCATCTCTGGAGCATGGAATTCTTGCTTTGGGCAACCAGAATTGAAGCTTAAACTAGCACATACATAGTATCACACTGTGCATGCTGAAGTAGGTTAAAGTACATTATAGCAATCATACAAGGAGTCCAGTTCCAGCCTGTGGAACTCTAGTTTGCAGCCTTTGATATACAGGAATTTGTCCCTGCTTTCTAGGAGTTTCCATTCTAGCAGGGGAGAGACATCATTTGAATAGAATAAAGATAAAATGATAGAGGAACAGAAGTATGATTGTATTCTGGGAAGATACTGCAGAGTGTGCAGCCAGATGGACGAGGCACCAACGCCTTCCCCCACGCAGATCATAAAACTGGCACTGAGACAGGATGTAGCAGTGGTGGACGCCTTTAACTGCTAGGCCACTGCTGGAGTCCCATGTTGTGAATGGCAGTGCATCTCAACTACTTTCATCTTTCCCTGCTGATTTTATCCTTCAGACATTCATGAAGTAATAAAGGAAATGACTACTTTCTACCTAAACTCTAAGCTATGAGGAACAATTTAGTTTCTGAGGTACAAGTGTTGGGAATTCTAGAAGAGAACATATGTTCAGCTTAGTTTATTTCAACAATCAACTGAATGCCAGGCATTGTGCTGGTCATCGGGGATTCAAAAAATAACTGAGGAAAAACCCCAACTCAAATTGGGTAGGTCAGAGAAAGCTTTCCAAAATGTGAACTAAGTCTTAAGAATAAGAGGTGTGTGCCAAGTGAGGAAGAAGGAATGTGGTGGAAGGGCTGGTGGGGGACAGTATTCTTGGCAGCAGGGACAGCAGGAACAACGGTTCAGACACACAGCATAGCCTTTGTGCACAGAACTACAAAACATTTGATACTGTTGGATTTTGAAGTGCAAGGCAGGGAGTACAGGGAAAGGATGCTAGGAGGAGGAAAGAAACCAGTCATAAAGAGCCTTGTTTATCATGCTAAGAAACTTGGAATTTGCCCAGAAGGAATCACTGAAAGGTGTTACTAGAAGAGTGACATAGTTGGAGTGCATGTTAGATAATGCGCAGTGGTTGAAATCAAAGTAAAAAACAGATGGTCCCTGGGACAAGTGGAGCAAGACTGGATGCAGGGAGACCAGGTAGGAAGCTATCCTAGCAGTTTAAGTAAGAAGTGATGAAGGTTAAAGGAAGGGTTTTAATAGGATAGGAGAACTCTTGTGCATGTTCATCTACTAAAGGAAGAAACCAGTTATGAGGGAAATCTGGGAGCCAGGATAATCGGTTGGAGCACAGTCAGAGGAAATAGAGCTGAAATAGAATTTAATTTGGCTTAATTCATCATCTGAAAATCATCAACTGAAATCAGCAGGAGAGAGATAAAAGAGAGCAGATGGGACCTTGGGTGAAGAAGTAATGGCACGTTAGAGTTCACGGGGGTAGTAGAGATACCTTAGATTTTAGGAAAGCAGATTTAAATAAATTAAAGTTAAAAATGTTATGATACAATGGCTTTGTGTATTTTAAGTTGTCAGGCATGCAAAAATAAAAACTTTCAGAGTGAGAAGAAAAGAGCATATTACTAACAAAGACTTCTCTTGAGCCTCTCCTTTGAGCTCAGAACTTTGGAGGACTTGTGTATTTGACTTTTGTTGAAAAGAGGACTTTTAAACAAATTCACGCAAGTCAAATGGCTGCCTGAGAGTCACCCATAATGATTCCTAGAAGATAAAGATAAGCACTCTTGGGTAGGTAGGAGAGTTCAGTACTCACGTAGTCTTCTGTCAAATGCGTCTACTAATGCCTGTCATGGTTCTATGGCATGGCTCAATGTTAGGAAGATCATATGAGAAAACGAATGTGCAAGCACTTTGAAAACTAACGTTTCATTAATACCATTATATGATGCCGGGAAGAGGGATGCGGCGATCAAGCTCTGGAGAGGCAGTGTCTTATAGACTTCATGTTCTTTTTGTAACTTCATGTTCTTATAGATCTGTTACATTAACTTTCCCAAAGAACAACGACTACGCTTTGGCGCAGATAAAGGTAGAAGTTGTCAACTTGGAGGGGCTTGGCCACATAGTCAGGCGCTCTGTTCATCTACGCATGCTCAAGAGCGGCTCCGGTCTCCTCCCAGGGTTGGGCCGAACGCAGGGGGCGGAGTCCGGGCCACGTGGGGTATCGTGGCGTCATCTCCGGGCGCCGAGGGTGACTGGACTTGAGGTGGGCTTCCAAGGCTCCGCGGAGCTCGGGTTGTATTCGCTGCATACTGGAGGGCGGAAGTGCAGCAGGGCTCGGCTCCGACCTCCGCGCCGGTGCTTCCTGCGGCTGCGCGGGCTCTCCGGACTCCGGCTCCCGCGCCTCTGCAGGACAGTGTGTCAGGCAGGCAAGCAGCCCCACCGCCCGGCTGGAGCCTGGGACCCGAGCTTCTCCACCGGTGCGGGAAGCAGCCGGCGCTTCGGGTAGGGTACGTGTGTCCGTCGCCCAGTGTGAGGAAATGCCCGGAGGAGGGGTTCTGGGGAGGGGCCAGGTGTGGTAAGGAGGAGGGGTGAGTGGCCGGCCAGAGCCGCGCTCCCCGGGGGGGGCGATGGCGGGTGAAGGTGGTTCCTCCGGGCGGAGGTGGGCTTGGAGAGACGCCGCCCCCGGTGCCCTAGGGTGTGGCTTGTGTGACCTCCCCTGGGGAATATGTCTGTTGCTTATAAGGGTAGGAAACCCAGGGTCAAATCTCAGGCTCTGGAGTTCAGTTCAGAATTTGGGTTGTTCGTGGAACAGTTATTCAAACCATAATTATTCCACAGGGTAGTTCGGTTATGTTACTCCGTATTTCCTCCAATTTATCTTCTCAGAGGCATTCCTGAAGTCTCATTTTGATAATAATATTTCTGTTGACAAAGCACTTTCACATACTTTAGTTATACTTTGGATTATTTTCGAATCATATCTGAACTTGAGGAACCTAAGAAACTGGATTGGTTCTAGATTTTTCTGAGAGGTGGGGAGGCACAGCATGACTTCTGTAATCAAAACTCAGAGACTTATCAAACAGTAGTTGAACTCTCAAGGGCTTCCAGAATTCATTTGATAAATCTGAGACCTTGGGACTGTGGGTACTTGCATCTGAACTGAACTATTTTGTGATTTCTATTTGAAGGAGTTCAATTTTGAATCTGAAAATGAGGATGTTAGGCTGAGAGTAGTAGTTGAGAGGAATTTCAGAATTTTACACTAATGTTATACATGTGCTTTGATCCTCAAAGATATGCTAGTTAAAATTGGGGGAAAATGAGCCGAATGTGACTGTGTCGATATAGGATTTTAGAATAGTGTACACACTTCAAGTGTGGGTTCGTTTCATTAATTTCACAAATATTGAGTACCTGCTGTGTGCCAGGCACTGGACAAAATGGTAAAAAAATACAATGAACAGTGAACAAACAATAAAAAGTCATCATGAAGTTCACTTGAGGATGGGGGAGAAAACATTGGTAGAAAAATTAAAGTACTGTAATATGTCAGGTGGTGAAAAGTGCTAGAGAGAAAAAATCAATCACTGAAGGGGAATGAGGAATGCTAGTGGTGTGGCAGGAAATCCCAGTGGTGGCCATAGAAAAGATGTTATTTGAGTGGAGACTTATTGGTGATAAAGGGTGCCATGTGGAAAGCCATCAGAGCTACCACAAAGGCCCCGAAGCGGGAGCGTGCCAGCTAGTTTGGCTGGAAAAGAATGTGATAGGGAGAGATAAGTAGTAAAGACTCAGGTGGGAATGGGGCAAGTCATATAAGGCCTTGTAGGACTTTCTGTAAGAACTTTGGTTTTTACTTGAATGAGCTGGGTTTTAAGGAGTAGATTGATCTAACTTGTGTTTTAACAGGATGTGATTGCTATGTTGACTGTATGCAGTATGGGCAGAAATAATGAGAGCTGCCAGTAGACCTTTGCATTTGTTAGGTTAAAAGTTAAAGTGTATTCAGGGTGGTAACAGTGGAGGTGGTGCAAAAGATCAGATTCTAAACTCATTTCTAAGCTACAGCAGCATGGAAGAAGGGCCAAGGATGCCCCAAGGTTTATGGCCTGAGCAACTAAAGAACAGAATTACCACTTAGTAAAATGGGGAAGACCACAGAGTAATAGGGGAGTGGAGGGAGAAAGATCTGAAATTATTTTGTTTTGCACATGTTAAATTTTCCAAATGGAAATATCACTATGAAGTGAGTTCAGAAGAGAAGTCTGAGCTGAAGATATAAATGGTATTTAAAGCCACACAAGAGGGAGTGGTTCAAGGATTGAGCCCTGGGTCACTTTAACATTTAGAGGTAGGTAAGATTTATGTGCTGTGCTCCTCTCTCCCCCGCCCCCCACCAGGCTGTCCAGTAAAATCCCTGTTGAGAAATCACTGATCTGCAGTAATAGGATGGGAAGAAAGGTTATTAGCTGAGAGAGAAGTTGAGGAAGGAGATGTGAAAATTTGAGGGAGGAGACAGTATGGAAGAGTAGGAAAGTGGGAGAGTAAGTGGACTAGGGAAATTTGGGGCCTAGGCAGTACTCTGGGTCCACGTTTGAGATTAGTGTTCTTTAATTTAAAAGGAGATCAGCAGCCAGCATAGATTATTACTTTTAGATGTTTGCAAACTTAATCTAATAAGTGTTTGATTTTTTTAAGTAATTTCTATGTAGTTGGAGATTTGGAGATTTTGTCAGCAAAAATAGCTTTAGTTAGTAGGTTAGCCTTTTTTGGTATGTAGTGTGAAAGGGACTTTTAATTGTGCATTATATTCTCATCATACTGTGCTATTTGCTGAGTGACTAATTGGTTAGCAAGTGTGGTTGGTTGGGCATTTACTCTGTCCCAGGCCCTGAACTAGATCAGAAAGTAGAGCAGTCAAGAAGACATAGCCCTTGCCCTCAAGAAGCTTATTTCTAGTAGGTTACATCATGGGTTGGATTGATATGTTTCCAAAACATTGTCTTCAAATTGGATGGATGGTAATGACTGCGTAGTGTGTATAGGAGAGGGAAAAATCTTTCTAAAATAATGAAATTTGCTGAATTTAAAGCATGATTGTACTAATTTGGAAAAGAGTTTAGGTGGAAAAGTTTCTTAAATAGCTAGATTTATATATTTATATATTTTCCCCATCACTTAACAAAAATTCCGAAGACTGCTATGTGCTAGTTATGCTAATGTTGGGGATAGGAAGGTAAATATGACTCAGTTTCTGCTCTCAAGGAACTCTCAGTTCAGTGTGGGGAGGGCCAAGAGACAAGATAAACAGATAACTGCAACGCTTGGTAGTACATGCTGCTTGGTAGTACATGCCATTAAAGAAGTAGGGCTGGCCAGTTAGCTCAGGTGGTTATCATGTGGTGTTAGAAAACCAAGGTTGAGGGTTTGGATCCCTTTACTGGCTAGCTGCCAAAAAAAAAAAAAAAAGTAGAGGGAAGGCTGGTCAGGGGGAAGCTTTCCAAGGAACTGATATTAAGCTGACTCCTGAAAGAGGAGTAAGAGTTGGCCAAGAGAGGATTAAAGAGTTGGCCAAAAGAAGAGGGAGAGCATTTAAGCAGAGGAGCCATGGAAACATGAGGAAACCATGTATTAAATACATACACCATTTATGGAGTGGTTACCATGCACTGAATACCTAACATCCCTATGAAAGTTAGAATTATCTTCACTTACAGATATGAGGTTCAGAGAGAATAGGTTTGTTGTCCAAGGACATGCAGCTAATAGGTGGAAGTCAGGGTTTAAACCCATGTTAGTCTGATTTCAAAGCCCCTTAACTACTTTACTGTATTGCCTGTTGTCACCATTTAAATCTTTTCTGCCCTTGTTCTTTATCCTGCAATCATTTTTCACCAACTTCTATTCATTCTTCCTTGGAAAGACTCATATCTGTCTCTCACCAATCCACTAGTACCACTCTATGTTAGGAACTCATTACTTTGTGCCTTGGTTGCTAAAATTGCTTCCTGGCTATCCTCTTTGACTCAAGGCTCTCGTTTTGTGCACTCCTATCAGATAACTATTTTTATTTCACCATTATAAAACCTTATAGGCTCCCTAGGCCTGGTGGATGAAATTGAGACCCCTATTTGGTATGCTTCATGATTTAGCCTCATTTTACATTTACAGATTTGACATAAAGGAATACTAATCGCTTGCATTTCTTAGCACTTACCATGTGTCCTTACTATATAAAGTCCAAACACTTTATAGACTTTTTTTTTTTTTTTCAGGACAACCTTGGGACTTGGGTATTATTAATTTCATTTCACAGGTAAGGAAATGGGGCTAAATTAAATACAGTGACTTCCCTAGGGTCACATGTAATATTAAAACATGTTATGGTGTCAGCTCTTTCATTATCTACTATTCCTCCTAACCTAAAATTTCCTAAAAAGTTGGCACAGTTGCTCCTGCCCACTTCCTGCCTCTATTAATGGTATTTTGCCCTGCTTGGAATATTTATCTTCCTCTCTTTGCCTGTTTATATTCTGCCCATTCTTCCAGTTCCACATCTTTTAAAATTCTTCTTTGAACATTATAGGATATGTTAACATTTAACTGTGCATCTCCCCACCCCCATAAATGCTCTGACAAAGTAACATATTATTATACCATGGACATATGGACATTTTGGAGTTGGCAATCATTATGATATGATGGAAGGAATATAAGATTGGAAATCTGGTAAAGATATGGCTTCTAGTTTTGGCTCTGCTGTTAGATAGCCACAAGATTTTAGAAAAAATCATCTTTACATCTCAAGTTTATCATTTGTAAAATGGGAACATAGAGGCTTATTTATCATTTGTGTATCAAGTGTGAGTTAATGTAAAATACCTAGTGTTTCTGAAATTACTTGATATTTAAAGCAGTATGTAATCTATTATCTAATTTTTATTATCTAATCTGACCTACTCATCTCATTTAGGGGGATTCTGCTTGGCTGTATAATTTTGCATTCATGTATTTCCAACACATTCAAATTCAGTAAACATTTTTTAAGCACCTATTATATTCCAGACACCTTTCCAAGTATCAGAGGTTAAAAGATGAGTAAGATATGATCCTTTTCCCTGAGGGAATGCATTACAGTCTACTGGAAGAGGTGCACATACAAATAAGAATCTTTAATTTAAGCTTATAAGTGCTGTAGTAGAGGAAATGTAATGGTGCAGTGAGGAAGCAAGGAGGATTCTGCCTGAGTCATGCATAGATAAAAGACTATTTTGAGCTGGATCCTGAAAGACGTGTAAGTTGGAAGACAAGGTGGGGAAGGCCGCTTTAGGTTAAGGGGACCACTAGCGTGAACAAAGTTACAGAAAGAACATTAAAGTGCATGGTATATTTAGAGGATATGGAGATTACAATATCTTCTGGGCAATGACTGAAGTTTTAAAAAAGTTTATTGTTGTTATTTTTAATTCCTGCAGCACCTGCCATAGAACTGGGCATATCAAATGATCAAATATTTACTGACTCTATGTTAGGTGTTGTTAGAAGTGTCCAATGCATAATTTTAACTATTGTTTTCCTTTACTCTTATAATTTTTGTTTGTGTCACATAATGCTTTTCATTATTCTTAGTTCTTGAAGTCTTTAAATGTCGACTTTTAAACATTTTTGGAGGCATGCTCTTATTGATTCTGTAAATTATAATGATAAATAACCTTTATAGTACTTATTTTATGATAGGCACTGTCTAAAGTGCTTTACATGTATTAATTCATTTAATTCTCACATCTAATGTGGTAAGTGCGGGTTTCTCATTTTACAGACGAGAAAACTGAGACACAGAGAAATTAAGTGACTTACTTGAGATCGTACAGTAAGTGGTGGAGCTATGTTTTGGATTTAGGCAGCCTGGCTCCACAGTTTACGTTTTTAACCCCTACACTGTGGTGCCTCTCAAGAGTTAAATTTTACTTTTCTGCTTCTGTTTAAAAGAGGATTATTGAAAACTCACATCCTTCAAATTTTTTGTGTGTGTGTGTGGCTGGCTGCTATGGAATCCGAACTCTTAACCTTGGTGTTATCAGTCCCATGCTGTAACCAAGTGAGCTAACAGGCCAGCCTCTCACATCCTTTAATTTTATCCATTTGTCACCAATTTTTCTTGTATATTTTTTAGTTAAGTATATTCACTAGACTAGAAACATTCTATCTTTTTTTTTCTTTTTTTTGTCTTTTTTGTGACCGGTAACCGCGCTCAGCCAGTGAGCGCACCGGCCATTCCTACATAGGATCCGAACCGTGGAGGGAGCGTCGCTGCGCTCCCAGCGCGGCACTCTCCCGAGTGCGCCACGGGCTTGGCCCAAAACATTCTTTCTTATGTAATTATAGATGATTATTTATTTGTATTGAAAGATTACTATTTTAAGATCCTATGAATTTGAGTCTGCATATATTGAGGCAGTAAGTAGCCTTGTTTGCAGTTTTCAGAAATTTGTTTTGCAGAATTTGTTTGTTTTGCAAAATTTATATCAGCTCTACCACATTACACCTTTAGCTGCCTTGGCTCATTCAGTTCTTCCCTTGAGATCCTATAAGAAATACATACGTAAGAAACAATAGTATGTGGGAAATAAAGTATCAATTTAGTTTTCATTGGTTTTTGTACCTTAAATCTTACTGTAGAACTTTGGCAAACTTGGCTGGAACATAAGACTTTAAAACCCAAGCCTGTAGTTGTGGTTTTTAGGAGTTCTCTCTTTCCCTAAGGCCATACTTGTATCACTTTTGGGGAGGGACACTCAGAAACAAAGAGGAAAGACAGCATTGACCATTTCTTTTTACTGTTCCTGACACATGGAAGGGAGAAGCAGCAGAGAATGTCATGGAAAGAAAGAGTGGGATGGTTAGGTATTCTCATCTGTCAGCCTAGAAGAGGAGAAAGGAGCCATACTCAACATGCATAATATTTTGGTTTATGGTGAGCTCTGCCTATTAATAAACGCAGCTCAAATGGTGTCTTGGGATCTGACCAACTAGATTCTTACTCCTTCTTGAGATAAGGACAGTGCTTGCAAAGAAGGGAAGAGCCTTTCCTTGGGTGGCCATACCCCCTTTAATTTTGAATTGTCTTGAATCGCATTTTCTACCTGCATCTTCTGAGAAGAAAAAACATCCAATGTGATAATATTGATAGTGACTTCTGAACTTTAAAATTGTAATTAAGCTTTCTTAAGGTTTGTTAGTAAAGGAGCTTTTTGTCTCAAATTGTTTTCTCTCATGAGCAAGAGGGAAATCTCAGTTGCAGTTGTTGATTAATTGGATGTATCATGGTTACAGAAACCACTGTTTACAATTTCAGATTTATTTACTTGTCATAACCCACATTCAATTTTAGATTTACCTATTTGTCATAACCCAGATTTCATTAATTCATGCCACTACTAAATTTATTTTAAAAGAACAAGCGATTAATGTAATGAGGTAGTGAGGTCTTTCCCATTTTCAGTGAATTAATTTTGTGTGATTTGTAAACTTGGGAATTTCCTGCTGAGAGCAGAAAACTCAATATGTTGTTTGAATTTGAAGCCTGTCAATGTGGAACTCATGAAATTTACATGCGTTTATCGTTTTCTTAAAATAATTACTTTTATGGGTGTATTTTAAGAAAAGTTAAAACACTATGATGTGCTGTAAAGAGCACTTGGCTCAGTTTAAGTACCAGAGTTCTTATCCTGATTTGACTGTTGCTAGTACTTTTATGTTGGACAGATTTTTTTCCATCTCTTTCAGTTTATTTACCTGTAGATGACATTGCAGCCAGTTGACCTCCAGCTTCTTCTTTCTTTGACTAATTAATTTATGACAGCCTTAATGTTCTTGCCATTGGTCAGTGGAAGAGAAAAGAAACCAGCTCCTTGAACAATTCAGTGTCAATAACTGACATTTGGCTAAACTTATATGATTATTTAGAAGAGAATGTTTTTGCAAGATACATTATAGTAATTATAAATTAGTTGCTTATGAAAGATGGGAAATATTACTTGGATAAGTATATTGAATCATAGTATCCAGGTGTCACCTATGGCGTTACTCTAAGCGTTTATTACAAACAGTATTTGTTTCAGCATTTACTCATGAAGTATATTGTGATGTTATTTAGTTGTAGGGTATTAGCACTGGAAGACACTTGGATATTACAGAGGTCAAAAGCCATGCCCTTCTACTATATCCAGAACATTTCTGTTTCCAAATTTAGTGCTATATTTGTGTTATAGGGAATATTATAAGAGTTGAGAGTAGAAGTGTATATTGTTTCATTGGAGCAAAGGATTGTGAGTTCGGTTGCAGACTGTGCAGGGTTTAATTAGGTGACAAAAGAGCATATTAGAACAGGGGAATGGTAGGACACAGAGCAAGGTGTTTAGGGGATCATTTTTGCTAGAGGGTTTGTATAAAGAACTATAATAAATAAGAATGAAAATATTGGATCGGATCAAATTGTGGACAGGATGAAATTTAGAATGGGGAATAGGGTCACCCAAAGATTTTTCCAAGATGAGAGAGTATTTTTGCAGAAATAAAGCAAGAACCATCAGGAATAGGTGAGGTTGAATATGTGAAAATGATACTGTGGAATTGGACTATCAGGGATCAGAGAGTATAGTTGAAGGGTTCTCTTTAGATAAGCAATAGACTCTTCTGGGCTTGAAAGGGTGATACAAGTGTAGTTTCATTTTGACTTTGGTTCATTAGTTGGACATGTAATGAACATTACTTGAATATATAATTTTGTTTTTTTGTTTTTTTTTTTCCAATCCTGCTCCTTCTGAATTAAATATGTAATTTTGAATTGGTTACTTCTGTGGTCCCTTAAATAAATAGTGGTTCTGTGTTTAGAATTTGTTGTACTGATTTTTTTGCATTTGTTCTAAAGAATGTCAATCACACAGTTTTTTTGAAGTGAAAAATGTTTATGGCATTCATTTTTTCCTGTAATCCTTTGTTTTGTAGCAAGTTCTTTCATTCTTGAAAGGATCTGACTAATGCTCTTTATTTTGTTTGCAGTTTGGCTTTGGTTGAAGAAGGAACTTAGCCTATATGTACTGCTTTAACCATTGGAAGAATGACAGATGACAAAGATGTGCTTCGAGATGTGTGGTTTGGACGAATTCCAACTTGCTTCACTCTGTATCAGGATGAGATAACTGAAAGGGAAGCAGAACCATACTATGTAAGTGTGTTGATGGTGGCAAATGGGATATTTTAACTTTGTAAATAAAGCTCTAAGAACCTGGAGGCTGTTATCCAAAATTTTATATAGTGTTACGACTAAACTGTTATTACTTTGGAGAAAAAAAATCAGAAAACACAGATAAGCAGAAAGGAAATAAAAATCATCACAAATCCTACCACTTAGAGGAGAAAACTACTGTTGACATGTCATGATACCTTCTTGACTTTTTCTTATGCATATCTGCATATATAATATGTGATAATGAAATCATAAGCTATGTGCTATATTTTAAGAGGAAACTGTTGAAAATAATAGATTCAGATTGGAATCTTTTGTATTTGTGTGATTCCAAGCAACTATTTAACAAAGTATTTTTATAGCTCAATTAACATGAACACACACACACATACACACATTCATATATATGTGAGCAATATATAATATATATTTAGTAATATGTATTATAAATTACTGCACATAGACTGGGGGGCTTTGAATTAATGAATTATCTGTTCTGAAAATGAGTTTCAAGTATCTTCTGATTTTAATGTGACTCCCCCCAACCCCGCTAAGGCATGTATAGGCCAAGTTTATGCATCCGTTAGTAAGAGATGATAGTATCCTGCCTATTTACTGAATAGCCCCTAATAGGCAAAGGCATTTAGTTGTTATTCTAGACTTTTCTTTTTGTGTCTGAGGTACACATGCTATTGCTTACATGGAGAGGATGTGGAAAAGTGTAAATGTATTTGTGATGCTGAACTGTTTTCTTCTGTTTCACTTTAATAAAACTTTCCCGTTGCTTTCTCCCCTATCTGAGAGGCAGCACTGTTCCTCAGTCTGCTCCCGCTATGGGAAGTCAGACTGCTGGAGGAAGCTACTTAAGGAGCCCATTCATTCATTTTTTGGGTATAGGAACTGTTTTGTTTTCCTCTGTGTATCTCAGTATCTGGCATGGGCTATGCGAATGGTAGATACTCACTGCAGGAAAACCTCCCCAGACTCATGTTGTGATTTTGTTTGAAATCATCTCTTTGGATTTTTAAACCAGAAATGATAATTTTAGAGAAGTTGGGCAATTTTGTTACTGGGACTCAGGCTTATATACATTTGAGTAATTTTAACTTTGGAAATCTCAACAGTTTTCTTTTTTGTCTAGAAAAATTTCCACAGTTAAAAACAAATGTGGTCATAGTTTATTTTTAGAAGAATTTCATTTGTTAGATGTATTTTTTTCTGTTCTCTTTCTGTAATATGGGTTAGGATATAGTTTTAAACAAGTTTTTGCTGTTTTAATTAAAACTTTCAACCTTGGCTGGCTTTCTAATAGTATCTAAAAGGAGTATATATGTATAGTTGGTCAAAGTGGCAACCACTGAGAAATATATAATTTAAATCTGTTCACTTTTAAATCAAACTCTGATGTTTGACACACTTCCTACAGTTAAAAAAATTCCAGGTAAAGAATACAGCATTTTTCCTTCTTTATATATGTCTGTTTAAATATGAAAAGACTTTCATGAGAACTAGAGTGTAAGTTGTTTTCTAGATATTTCTAATTGAAAATGGGAGGTGTTGGGACAGGAGGAAAATTGTTCTATCTTATAGGTAATTTTTTTTTTTTTGAAGTCTTTCTAATTGTCTACCCAGAGAAACTCTTATATTGTTGAAGAATATTGGGCGACAGGCATATAATAAACATGAAATTTGGATTATGCTACATGATTTTAAGCCCTAGTTTAAAAAACCTTAGTTTAGGGTTTAAAATCATTTAGCATAGTCCAAATTTTGCTCTTTAAATACATACAGGAAGAAAATACACAAAAACATTAATGATGACTAGTCTTAGAATTATAGGTGAGCATTTTAGTGCCAATATAGTTGTAGTTCAGATATGTCTCAGTTAATTAAACTTGAAAATATTTTTAATATTAATGTTAAATGTATTTCTGGTTATTTCTCCATTCTGATTTGTTTCCTCTGTGCATAAATCTTTCAGCCTACATTTTATATATATATATGTATATCATTGAGAATTATGTCTTACTTTGCAGGGAATATTAGGAAGGAAATTTATTAGAAACTAGATAACTTCAGTTTTTGTTGTTTCTATTACATTCATTTAAACTGTTGCTTTTTATTTAGATTATCCAGTGTAAAAACATGCATACTAATTTGTATTTGTATTTTGTGACTTGTTACTAGAGGAAACCACACAGTCAGACCAATGGTCATCAGTCTCAGTGGACTTTAAACATTACCCAGCAATACTTTGATGTTTTCTGAATCAGCTGTCTCTGCTCTTTTCCAGTTAGAGAATTTCTCTGAGCCCTGACCTCATCCTTCACTCTTAACAGGTGGCTTTACCTCCTACTTCATGAAGAAAGTAGAAACCATGTATAGACTCAACTCCCTTAGTTGAGTTTCTGCCACCAAATCTGCAATACCTGTCTGCATTCACACACATTTACTTCTCCTTCCCTCCTGCTATAATGGAAGAAGTGTTCTTCTTCCTAGGCAGGGCCCAACCCTCCATCTGTGTTGTGGATCCCATTTCCTGCCTTGTCAGGAAGCTAGCGGTATCTAATATTCTCCCACCTACACCTCTACCTTCTCTGTTTATTTATTTTGACTTTATTTACTGGCTCCTTCACAGTTCTGTATTGTCATAAAGCCTTCTTATCCTAAAACAACAATCCTCTGTTGACACCATCTTCTCAACTCCTTGCTTTCCCTTCACAGCCATACTTCTTGAAACGGTTGTTTATACTCATTGTCTCCCTCTCACCTCCTACCACTTAGTTTGCTGGCATCACATTTTCACGCTACTGCAACAAAACTGTTCTTGCCTAAGTCACTAATGACATCTTTTTTGCCAAACTTGGAGTCTGTTTTTGAATTTTCATTTGCTTGATCTCTCAGCAGTATCTGATGTTGTTGACTGTTTTCTTTATCATGTGGCACTGTCCTCTCTTGCTCTGCATGCCCCATATTCCTGGTTTTGCTTCTGCCTGTTTTTTGTGGTCTCCTTTGCCAGATCTTTCTTCTTAGCTTGTTCATTAATGTTGGTGTTCTTTAGGGCTTTGCCTTCTTTTTTCTCTTCTCTTTTTTTCCCCTGGAGTTCTCAGCCATTTTTATGTCTTTGTCAAGCATTTATATCCTGACACTCCTAGTATTTTTCTCCTGTGCTCCAGATGTGTATTTCTGTCTGCTGGAGATCTTCATGGAGATAGATGTTCTAAAGGAACTGAAACTGAGTGTGTTTGAAACTGGATTCATCATTACCCCCAGAAAACTTGGTCATCTGCCATTATTCCCTTCCTGTTTTGGCAAGTAGACCTATCATTCGTCTAATTAATTAGTCTTACCAGAAACCTGCAGCTCATCCTTGATGCCTCATTCTCTCATATCCCTGACATTTTGGTAACTTAGTCCAGCTGATTTTACATCTCAGTATTTCTCAAACTTACCCGATTCCTCACATCCCCACTGATACAGCCTAGTTCGGGCCACCATTTAAAAACTGATGGATTGCATAGCAGTAACCAATTTCCCTTCTTCATTTTCTAGTTTGCAGTTGGAATGATCTTTTCAAAACATATATCTGATCTTGTTACCTGCTTGCTTAAAACCTTTAGTGGATTTTCATCTCTATGTATTTACTCTGTGCCTTTTGTCATGCAGTATTCTCTGTCTGGAATAGGTGGAAATATCTCTCACCCCTATACACGCCCATGTTTTGTTCATTCCTGTTTGTCTTTTCACTCTTGCCTTAAAATACACTTCCTGTCAAGACCTCTTCTGAACCCCTAGATTAGGTTAAATTCCTTTGCTCCTTGCTCTTGGAACATTCTTTACTTCCTCCTTACATTCATCACATTTGTAATTTTGTTTTCAGTATCTGTCTTCCTCTCTAGTCTGTATGCTGTATGAGGGGAAGGGCTCTTTCTGTCTCATTCAGTGCTATTATGGGTACCTTTCTCAGAAACATAAGTATGAGGGGACTTCAAAAAGTTTATGGAAAAATGGAGTTCAAAGATAAAAATAAAAAATATTAACTTTATTTTTCAACATAAGCTCCGTCAAGTGCAAGACACTTGATTATACCAGCCATTTAGTTCATCTCTAAAGAATTGAGAGTCCTGGGAATTTAGCCATGTCAGTACAGTCTTTTTGACGTCATTAACTGAAGAAAAATGGGTGCCCTTTAAGGATTCTTGAGGATTAGGAAACAAAAAAATAAGAAGCCAAATCAGGCCATAAGATAGATACCTAATGATTTCCCATTGACATTCTCACAAAATCACCTTTGTTTGATGAGAGAAAAGAGCAGGAGCATTGTCACTATGTAGAAGGACTCTGTGGTGAAGCTTTCCTCAGTATCTTTCTGCTAAAGCTTTGGCTAACTTTCTCAAAACACTCTTATGATAAGCCAGTGTTATTGTTCTTTGGCTCTCCAGAAAGTCCACAAGCAAAATGCCTTGAGCATCCCAAAAAACTGTTGCCATGACCTTTGCTCATGACCAGTCCACTTTTGCTTTGACTGGAGTACTTCCACCTTTTGGTGCCCACTGCTTTTATTCTTCTTTTTTTTTTTTTTTTTTTCTTTTTTTTTTTTTTTTTTTCTTTTTTTTTTTTTTTTTTTCTTTTTTTTTTTTTTTTTTTCTTTTTTTTTTTTTTTTTTTCTTTTTTTTTTTTTTTTTTTCTTTTTTTTTTTTTTTTTTTCTTTTTTTTTTTTTTTTTTGTCTTTTTTTTGTCTTTTTCCGTGTCCGGCAACGGATTGCAACCCTCAGTGTTGCCCCCGTACCGGACCGGGGACCGGCAACGGGATCGCAACCCTTGGCGCCGCTCCCGCGCCTCGCTCAGCCAGTGAGCGGGAACTGGTCCGTATGTGGGATCTGAACCCTTGGGCGGGAGCGCCGCCGCGCTTCTCAAGTGGCGCACTATCCAGTGCACCACCGGGCCGGCCCTCTTTTATTCTTCTTTGTCTTCACGATCATACTGGTAAAGCCTTGTTCATCTCTGGTTACAGTTCTTTGAAGAAATGCTTTAGGATCTTGGTCTCACTTGTGTAAAATTTCTGTTGAAAGCTCTACTCTTGTCAGCAGCTGATCTGACGTAATAGTTTTGGCACCCATCAAGCAGAAAATTTGCTCAACTTTAATTTTTCAGTTAGAATTGTGTAAGCTAAACCAGTTGAGATATCTATGGTGTTTGCTATTGTTTCTGCTGTTAACTGTTGGTCCTCTTCAAGTAGGGCATGAGCAAGATTCATTTTTTCCTCACAAATTGATGTGATGGTCTGCCACTGCAGACTTCATCTTCAACATTGTCTTGTCCCTTCTTTAAAAAGTTATCTGTTTGTAAACTGCTGATTTCTTAGGGGTATTATCCCCATAAACTTTTTGTAAAGCATCAATGATTTCACCATTCTTCCACCTAAGCTTCACCATCAGTTTGATGTTTGTTCTTCCTTCAATATTTCAGCAGAATTCATGTTACTCTGATAGGGGCCCTTTTCAAACTGATGCCTTATTCTTCCTAGTGGCTCAAACTAGATTATGTTCAGACATTTTATAACAAGTTAGTATGAGTTTATTTTGGAGCAAAAGAATTTTGAATTCCATGCACAGTTTTTTTCATAATATACATTTTTCATGAACTTTTTGAAGATCCCTCATATTCCATACAACAGTATAAAATGTTCCTTATGGGCCGAGCCCATGGTGCACTCGGGAGAGTGCAGCGCTGGGGGCGCAGCAGCGCTCCCGCTGCGGGTTCGGATCCTATATAGGGATGACCGGTGCGCTCACAGTGCTCACTGGCTGAGCACGGTGCGGCCGGTCTCAAAAAGGACACACACAAAAAAATGTTCCTTATAAGCTGTATAGAAAAAAATGAATCACTTGTGTCATTATACTTCATGAATACTTCATACCAGTGCTAAATGAAGAACAAGAGAATGATAGATTCAGTTGTAGCTGACAATATCCTTTCATATTAAAAGAACTTAAAGAACATTGAAGATATGCTAAGTGAAATAAGCCAGACACAGAAGGACAAATATTGTATGGTTCCATTTACATGAGGTACCTACAGTAGTCAAATTCATAGAGACAGAAAGTAGAATGATGATTACCAAGAGTTGGGGGAAGTGGGGAGTTGGGAGTTATTGTTTAATGAGTGCAGAGTTTTTCCATTTGGAATGATGAAAAAGTTCTGGAGATAGACAGTGGTAATAGTTGCACAACAGTGTGAATGTACTTAGTTCCACTGAATTGTACACTTAAAAATGGCAAAGGTGGTAATTTTATGCTAGGTATATTTTACTACATTAAAGAAAAAAAGACCTGAATGTAAACCAGTGAGATATACTTAAGAAAAACAATGAATTGGGCCGACCCCGTGGCGCACTCGGGAGAGTGCGGCGCTGGGAGCGCAGAAGCGCTCCCGCCGCAGGTTCGGATCCTATATAAGGATGGCCGGTGCTGCCGGTCACAAAAAAGACAAAAAAAAAAAAAAAGAAAAACAATGAGTTTATAGTCTGGAGATAACAGGCAAGATGATGTCTTTCTGCTGTTATTTTATTTTTGTTTTTAACCTATTTAAATATTTTCTTGATAAATTATATCTATATGAACTCCAATATAGTCATTCTTAAATCTTAGAGTTATTTCTTAGTGTTACTATGAATATTTATCTTAGTTATAGATTATTACTCCCACAGGCCAATTTGGAACAGAATATTGCAACTACATTTCAGTGTGGATTTTGCCTTGAGAATGGGTATTCTTTTTTAATTATCATTTTTGGCTCTTTGCCCCACTTAACCTTTGGTGTCTCTGATTCATTCAGCAAATATTTATCGTACACCTCCTGTAAAGCAGGCACTGTTTTGAGCATTGGGAATGTAGCTTTGAACAAAGGCAAAATTTTTGTCTTAATGGAGGTTACATTCTAATTTCCTCATTCCTTATTGTAAAGAAGTTTTTATTTAACAAAAATTGTTTGTGACTTCATTAGCAACTTTGATTGAACCTTAGCCAGGTAGTACAACATTCTCTAAAATCAGGAGTTGTTATTCATGCTCAATAGTTGTGGTGTGTCTTCCTTCTTACCATCTTCAAAGGTTAATATTATTCTCTGCAGAATAAATTAATGTGTAATACCCAATAGTAATTTTAAATTAAAGTTATGGATTTAGACTAAGGTATTTTACTTATTTATTTTTTTAAATGACCAATTGCTGTGCTGTTTTGATTTTTTAGTGACTTCCATGTTGTATTTGAATCGATTCTGTCATGTCTGAAAGACTCCAATGAATCTTTTCTCTCCTGTTTAATAGAATATAATTTTGGCACATTATTTAAGCTGTATGTAAAACAGAAGTGATAATACTTCTTGTAAAAATACTAGTGCTTTTCCTTATACATAGTAAATACTAGTTTCCTTTTTCCTTTCCTTACTAATCACAGTTATTTCTTTATAAAAAAAAATTGTGCTCTGTCAAATCCATACTACTATCCAACAGCTTGTTCATAGTGTTTAGTACCTTCTGTTCCACACTGGAGCATGCCAACTACCTCTCTGTCATACCCATGCACCCTGTAGCCTCCAGGACCACTGTCATGTTCTCCTGCCTACTTGAGGTCTATTATCTTGGACTTCAATGATTAAATATCAGTTCCTTCAGCCAGATTATTTTTTCTTTGTATGTATTTGCCAGCATAGTAGTCCTACTTAATTTACTGATCAGAAGATCACCTTGAATAAGCAGCATGAAAGACGGTGCAAGAGTTGGATTCATAAAAATAGCTGAAAGAGAGTAACAAAATAATTTTACCTGCAAAAGAAGGTAGAAACTTAGGAAAGCAAGAAATCGTTGCAGTATCTACAGCAAAGGAGGAGAAATGTGAATTTTTGCCAGTCTTCTCTTTTTATCTCTTTGTAGGTTCTTTATATAGATCATAACGAATTTTTCAAAACACTCTCATATTTTCTTTCTCGGCACCATTCCTGGGGGAAGAACACTGTCTTCCTTCATACTATTCCAGTTGAGGCTTTACCTAGCTCAACATTCTCTCCTAGCCTTCAAAACATGATGGACCAATTGAGAAGTCCCGATTCACAGTCAAGTGTACATTAGGACTGAGTTGATTATCTTCTTAGAACAGTTTAATTAACTCAGGTGAATCATTTTAATTTTTAAGTTAATTTGATATAGAAATAATAAGTATCCTAAATATTATGATATCTAATTATATCATAATTTTATTTAAAGTGTTACAGAAAGATTGTAGATAGATTTGTGTTGATTATTCTAGGCATTTATGCTGTACTTGAAGTACGTAAGAATATTAAAACATCTTAATCATTAGCCTTTGATTTTCTATAAAAAGCAGTTGACTTTGTGTGGTGTATTCAAAATAATGCAAAGAACATGGCTGTTTTTCCTTAAAATTCAAAAACCTATTTAGTATTGTTTTTTTGGAAAAATAACTAGTAAATAAATATGGTTTTACAAATTTTTATTTCAGTTGCTTTTGCCAAGAGTAAGTTATTTGACGTTGGTAACTGACAAAGTGAAAAAGCACTTTCAGAAGGTTATGAGACAAGAAGACATTAGTGAGATATGGTTTGAATATGAAGGCACACCACTGAAATGGTGAGTGAATTTTTCTGCATTATTAAGCATTAAGTATATGTTAACTTTAAGAAGTTATAGTGCCCTGATACAGTTGTAAAAAAGTTCTGTAAAGAAAGAAATCACTAGACTAGCTCCTATAATAAGTGAAGTTTAAACCATTATTTGAATATTTTATTGAAAATATTTCTGCCTTCTATTTGGATGCATGAATGACTGGACAGATGATATATTTTCAGCAATAGATTTTTTTATGGTACAATAATAATATAATTGGTTATGGGTTGTTTTCTTTTTAAATTATATATATTGTTTCTGTCTCCAAAATATTTATAGCAGGTCTTTATATAGACATGATTACCTAAACTGGCATCATTCAAACTTCTGGCCAAATTTAGTTGACCATAATGCCATAAGCACATCTTGACTAGCTAGGGTTGGTTTAGAGTACTTAAAATGTATTGGTTTCCTTTTTATGTGAAAAATAATTTTGATATTATATCATTTTTTAAAAAGGGTATTAAAAATAAATCCTAAATCTGGGCTTATCCATGTACAGATAATATTTTTGTTCTTTCTCTATTAATGGGAGTTTTGTTCAACTCCCCAAAATATTTAATAAAACTGGAGAAATTACAAGGAGAAGAATATTAAAAAAAAAGTTCAGTGTATGCTGGGAAATGGTGTAGAAATGCTGCCATTTGGAGGCAGTTGAATGAAAAAGATAGACTGTGACAGAATTAAAATTAAATATGAAAAATATGAATAGGTTAAAAATGGATTTGCTTTCTGAATCTGGAAATATTAAAATGAAGAGTTTTTAAAAGAGGCTTAGGACAAATAAAAGAAAGCTAGGCTGGCTGGTTGGCTCAGTTGGTTAGAGCATGGTGTTGATAACACCAAGGTCAAGGGTCCCCTTAACGGCCAGCTGCCAAGAAAAAAAGGAAACTAGTTAGTTGTTTAATAAGTGAGGCTGATGTAAATCCAAGGACTACTTATTAGCAAGGAGTGAAATTTTGGAACTTACCTGTGCTGATGAAATTCCAAGAGTGAGTAGATTTTTCATAATGGTTTGGAAACATGCAAGGGTGGCATTTTGTACTGAGTTGTGGGTTAGGCCTCTAATCTTTTCAGGCAGTTCTGGGAGAGGGATGACAGAGTTGTCTTACTGTAGCATTCTTTTTCAAATCAAAACGGTACTGAGCTTCATGATTATATATCAGACTTGTTATGACTCTTGCATAGTTGTAGACCTCAAGCGGCATAGGTAAGGCAATGTTTTCTGTTTCTGTTTATTTCTCAGAAGAACTGGAGGTTTTGGAATGGGAAGGTGGTTTAAAGAATTGTAAAAGGAGCAATGAGCAGGAGAGTAGAGGGAAGGGAAGGAAGGGGTGAGATTGTGGGCGAGTAGTAATAGATATATTTATGTACTTGACAGTCCTGTCTATATTTATGTACTTGACAGTCCTATCTATATTATAGTTAAATATTCAGATTGTTTCACTTTATATGTATCAGTTATAGATTATCATAAGAATTTGTGCGACTAACAGGGCTTTTCAATATTACCATTGTAAAGAAGGATTTCTCAACAGGGTCACCATTTACATTTTGAATTGGATAATTCTTTGTTGTGGGGCTACCCTGTACATTGTAGAGTGTTTAGCAACAGTCCTGACCTCTACCCACAAGTGCCAGTAGCACTCTTTCCAGTGGTGATAATCAAAAATGTTGCCAAATGTCCCCAGTGGACTGCAGAACTGTCCCCAGTTGAGAAACTCTGGAAAATTTGGGAAACCTCAATTTAGCTTGTAAAGTGATTGCTATGTCATCATCTTTCAGTTGCTGTTCTATTCTATCCTGTGTAGTGCTGATTTTTGAATTAGATGTGGTTTTTATTTTAGGTTTGTATTCTAGATATGATACTAGTAAATAATGTTTGGACCCATTTCTCCCTGTTACTGCAGAACAGTGATTTTGGCTTGCCTATACCATGGTCCTACTTTGTCAGTATTTGTCCCTTATGTAAGTCTTTTATTAAAGAGTAAAATTCTTTTCCCTTTTAGTGAGCTATGTGAAAGTAGTTACCAAGTATCTTCATTTTAGTTTTTGGGGTGTTAACTTTTTAATCTGTGATATCATTTTCATAGTTATGTCATACTTGTAAGCTCCTTACATTTTATGGCTTTCAATGCTTCTTTTCCTTTAGTATTTCTGGGTACTACATATCTACTCCAGAGGCATAAATGTAATCCAGGGCTTCTGGGCTAAGTGTTGATCTTTTCTCCCTTCGCTTCCAACAGTAGTGATTTTCTCCTATGTTAAAAAAAAATATCTTCTTGGAAATACTCTATCAATATAAGAATCTGCCTGGCATTTAAGCAGTGGGCTTCAGAGGATAGGATAATCCTATGAATTTCCTTCAGTGTGGGAAGGCATGTATCACTGAAGTTTTGTAAAACTGGGACTGTTGAAATCATGCAAGTGTCTTAAGAGTAGAGGAGCATTTATTTCAGTAGGATGGTAATGTTTTTCCTGTACTACTTGATTCACTGGAGTTTCAAGTAAATTCAAGCCGGAAAGGAAGTCAAACACCAGCTTAGGCAATTCATAAAAGGGAGAAAGTGCATAAATTGATATTCCTTCTTACATTATAACCTTGCCCCTGATCCTGTCCCCTAATTAAATTACTTAAATTTTAAGTTATCTTTTCATGTAAGGTGATAGTTCTCAATTGTAAGAAAAAACAAGCTGAAGTCCTAGACAAATTATAACTGTCCATACTCAGATGGCAAAAATATGACTTTATGTTCCTGTAGGTAGGACGCAGAATAAGAGTATTGGGCTACGTTTTTTAAATAAATTCTTTGTTTTAGAGATTTTTTTTAGAAATAGTATGTAAAGTCAAATTAGCAATAATAAATAATAGCAGAATGGAATATTCTTAAAGCAGTTTTTCCCTTTACTGTTAATTATTTCTTACTATTCTTTGTTTTTCTACTTGGCTAACAGACTCTGTGAGAAGGGAAAAATGATCCCAAACATATAATTTACATAGAGTAAAATTCATCTTTTTTTGGAGTATAGTTTGATGAGTTTTTAACAATTGTATACAGTTGTGTAACTTCCACGACAATCAAGATAATGGGATATTTTTATTACCTCATAATTCCTTGGTGCTGCCTATAGTCAATCCCATTGTCCTACCCCCAGCTCCTCTTTGTTGCTTAATATTATTCCATTGTATGGTTGTACTACAAATTGTTTATCCATTGAGGGACATGGGATTGTTTCCATTTGGGGGCTATAGTGAGAAACACTGCCTCAGACATTCACCTACTGTTCTTTGTGTGGACATATGCATTTCAAAAGAGAAAAATTTAATTTTGGTTTCTGTATGTTTGTTATTAGTATATAGAAATGTGATTGATTTTTGTGTTCTGGGACCTTGCTGAACTCACTTACTAGTTCTAGGAGTATTTTTACAGGTCCCTTGGGGTTTTCTATGTAGAGAATCATATCATCTGCAAATGGAAATCATTTTTATTTCTTCCTTTCCAATCTGTAGGCGTTTTATTTCTTTTATGTTATTGGAATGGCTAGAACTTCTAATACTGTGTTGAATAACAGTGGTGAGGGTGAATGTCTTGTGTTCTCAGCTTTAGAAGGAATGTGTTAGTCTTTCACAGTTCGGCATGCTTTTAGCTGTAGGTTTTTTGTCGATGCTTTTTATCAAGTTGAGGTCATTTTCTTTCTAACTTGGTAAGAGTTTTTATCATAAATAGGTGTTGGATTTTGTCAAATGGTTTTTCTGTGTAATTAATATTGTATGGATTTTCTTTTTTTAGCTTGTTGCTGTAAGGGAGGGTATTTCATAAACTGGAAAATAGAATTAAATAAATCCTTCCATGAACTTTTTGAAGACCCCTTGTAGATTACATTCATGGATTTTTTTATGTTGGACCTTACATGCCTTTCATAAATCCCATTTGGTCATTGTATGTAATTAATTTTATAGATTGTTGAATCCAGTTCGCTGATATTTTATGTTCATAAGAGGTTGTCTGTAGTTTTCTATTTTTATACTGTCTTTGTCTGGTTTGGTATTAGATTAATACTGGCCTTATAAAATGAGTTGGGAAGTGTTCTGCCCTGTATTTTCTGGAAAAGATTGTGTAAAAATGGTGTTAATTCTTTAAATGTTTGATAAAAATCTCCAGTGAAATCACCTGTGCTTGGAGGGTTTTTTTTTGGGGGGGGGGGGCTTTTAAATTAAACTTTTCTGGTATGTGTAGGTTTATTCAGCTTGTCTGTATCTTTGTTGAGTATTGGTAGTTTGTGGCTTTTGATGAATTGCTCTGTTTCTTTTAATTTGTTTGAATTTGTGAATATAAAGTTGTTTATAGTGTTTCCTTGTTATCTTTTAATGACTACAAAATTTTGTAGTGATTGCCCATATTTCATTCTTTTTGATCAGTCCAAAGCAGTTATTAGGGGAACTTACATATAGAGTGCGGCAGCATATCCTTCCAAAGGACAGCATGAGAAAGGGATGTTCTACCTCAGTACGTGTATGGCCATGGCGAGGGGGCAGGGTATGGAATTTACATGAGGGTTGAAGGAATTTGGCTCAGGACTGGAGCCATTTTCTTTCAGTGTTTTGAGCAACAACCCAGAGATCTTTATCAGTGCCTGGGAATGAATGTTCAAGGCCTGGTTTTGTTTTAAGCCCCCTGGGAGGAACCTGTTGCTGGCTGGGTCACAGAGGGGTCAAGGCACTCTGTGGTTTGGTCAGGACACAGAAAGAAAGCGGGGATCCAGGGGACCCTATAGTGCACAGCCAAGTCAGGCAGTGTTCACTGGGGCCTTCCCAGACAAAGGAGGAAGAGATGGTGGCCCAAGGGAAAAGCAAGAAAGGCAGCATTGATCAGTCAGTAAAAAGGGGTTCTGGACAGAACAGCTGGTGCTCTGGTCTTGGGGGCACTACCGTATTTCATTCTTGATACTGGTGATTTGTGTCT